GATCAATGTGTAAAGGTGTCTAATGTGCGAAGGCGGGATAGATTGGAACCTAGGATTGAGGTTCGTGATGCATGTTGTAATGGCAATGATGAAGATGCATGGATTGAAACTGAAATACGAAGAATGAAGGGTAGAGGTGATAGGTATGTAAGAAGTATAAATTATGTCGGAAACGGTGTTGGTAGGAGTATGGAAAATGTAAAGATGACAATTCCATCATTTAAGGAAAGGAACGATCCTGAGGTGTACTAGGCGTGGGAAGAAAATTAGTATTGGTGTTTGGGTGCCATGATTATTCCGGGGAGAAAAAGTTGAAGTTGGTTGTGAGTTCAATTGTGGATTATGCTTTAATTTGGTGTGATAAGTTGAAAACATCTAGGCGGAGGAATGGTGAGAGACCGATTGAAACTTGGGGTGAATTGAGGGCGATCATGAGGAGACGATATGCGCCTAGTCATTATTATAGAAGGGATCGGCGTAAATGGAAGTTTAGGGACAAGCCTCACGAATATGATGGAGTTGATAACTTGATCGTGGAAGAAACACTTGTTGTGATGCATTCTATTAATACACCAATCGGAGTGAATGATGTGGAGCAACCATGGGAAAAGATTTTTCAAAATAGGTGCTATGTCGGAGAAAAGTTATGTAGTTTAATTATTGATGGAGGTTATTGCACTAATTTTGTTAGCACTTTGGTCATGGAGAAATTAGGCTTGAATACGAGGATACATCCTAAACCTTATAAATTGAAGTGGATAGATGAATGTCGAGAGGTTAGGGTATGAAGGCAAGTATTAATAAGTTTATCGCTTGGGAGGTACCACGATGTAGTGTGGTGTGATGTAGTTCCTATGCATGCTTATTACATGTTGTTGGAAAGGTCGTGGAAGTGTGGTAGGAAGACGAAGTATGATGAAATCAAAAATTTCTATGGCTTTACTAAGGATGGAAAGTCTATTATTCTTGTATCATTAACACCACAATTGGCGTATGAGGATCAACTCAAAGTAAACATTGAGAATGAGAGGAAATTGAGAGAAAAGTGTGAGATAAATCTTCCAAAAAAGAGAGCTCTAGAGAAAATATTGAGGTTGTCTGTTGTGCGAAAAAAAGAAGAGGAGCCTTAAGAAAGTGAAAAAGAATTCGAGAGAGAGAATGAGAATAAAGAAGTGGTTAAATTAAAAGTGGAGCTACAGAAGGAAAAGGAAATTGAGTCCTCAAAAACAAAAGAGGAGATGGAAGTGAGCTTGAATGAAAAGGAGAGTGGCGTTGAGGAGGTGTTGACGATAACTAACAATTCCCTCCCTATTTTGGATAATTATGTTTTGTAGGTTAACGAAGATTTGGTTCCAAAAATTAATTCTATTGGAATACCACCTGACCCGAGCAATAATTATCAAATGGTGGATAAAATTCAGCAATATCTTAGCTTGGACATTCTCATAATATCGAAGATTGATTTTGTTATCCATGAAGAGGTAAAGGAGTCGCCATGGAAGGAATTTGTGTGCAAGGAGTTCATATACAAGGGGTTGAGCTAGAAAGTTGACTTTCTAGGAAAAATGCATCCGTTTGAATTGACATTACTACAATTGCCTAGGCCAAGTAAAGCGAGGAAAGAGCACGGAGGGTCATCTCATGAAATTATTTTGGGGGCATTTCAAAATTGTCAAAGTAAGCAGTCACGGCATGAGAACTTCCATCTAAGTAATGGTTATTGGGTTTACAATCGAAAGAGAACATCGAGGGTACAAGGTGATTTATCAATTGAAGTTCTTCTTGGAGCATCTCAGGCCTACAAATGGAAGCCATTAAGAAGAGTACACTTTGATCTATGTAGAGGTGATTGGGTTTACATACAATAGAGGTGGGATTTGGGTTAAAAAGAGGTCCAAACTACGTCTAAGAGGCGATGGACCATTTCATGTTCTTGCATTGATTGGAAGCAAGGGTTATAACTTGGGCACGGATTCGAGTTCGAATCCTTTCAAAGAGAGAGGGATTGATATGATCCAAAGGAGTATAAATTCTCATTGATTCGGCACATGAAGATAAGTGGTCGAGATTGAGATTTGAGCTAAGTTGGGCGCCAATTGGAGTTGATAAAGCTGGCAAATCTCTTGGACAAGCTATGGAGTTCAAAGTATAGGAATTAACTTACCAAGACATAAGTTCTATGAAGGGCTTGAGGGGTGAAATGACTTGGATCAACTTGTTTCAAGGAATAATATCCAGCATGTTGAAGATCACAAGCCAAGTATCACATTTGGATGTTGAAGACAGCAATCCAAAGACCAACTGATGCGAACTCGCGTAGCAACGAACACTACGAACCCACAGGAGATTGCCACCGGATCCCAAGAATGCCAAATAAAATTAAGGTTTTGGATTTGACCCACAAAAATGAACCAAGCAACCGAATGTATATTGAACGATCGACCTCTTGAGTACAAGACTACGAAATCTCACCCGAATTTGTAGATTTGAACCCAAAACAATGAACCAAAAAAACCCAACAAGAACGTTGCTTGAAAGACGCCATGATTACACCATTCAAAGATTCACACCCGATAGTTAAACGCCATAAGAATCAATTTCTTGATAAGTTCGGTTTGCCCATTGAAGAACAAGATAATTTTGAAGCAAAAGCTTCGCAAGAGAAAATCTCAATTTAATTCATATGAAAAGTCTTGTTTTTACAATATGAAAATAAAATCCCTAGTTTTATTAAAAGTCCTAGCATAAAGTTTAAAAGGAATTAAACTCTAAAAATCCTATTTTAAAAGGCAAACACATCCTAAAATATTACAAAGATGTGAGAAGATTACAATTTTAATGCTATAAAGAAACTGGCGCAAAACTGGAAATTGGTCTCAAATTTTCTCTATGTGGCCGCATAGAATTAATCTATGTGGTCGTATAGATTAATTCCCCAACCGGCTCAAATTCCGTGCACGGTCTAGAATTTTATCTAAACTAGACTTCTCGTGTGAAAACTAGAATTCCATCTGCCGAACTGCTCTATGCGGCCGCATAGAGTAACTTTATGCAGTCGCATAGAGTAAACTCAATCTGCTTGGAAAATCCCTACCAATATGCTAGTAGCTGTATCATCTAGACCACTATGCGATCGCATAGTGGTGCCTTCCAACCCGTGTTCTCTTGCCCGGATCACCTTGCTTCAAATCATTTCAGCCATAGTTCCCAACATCAATAAAACCTCGGTAGCTCAACGCCTATTAGAATACCACCCGACCCAAAAATTGAGCATCAATTTGTGGAAGGAACTAATAAACAACAACACTTTCTTTTGGACATCTCTATATTACCGAAGATTGACTTTGTGATTCCCAAGGAGACGAAGGAATTTCAAAGGCATTGGATGGAATTTATACGCCATGGATCGAAATACAAAGATGATTTGCTAGGAAAAATGAAGCCATGTACAATGCCATTGTTACAATTACCTAGGAGAAAGAGTACATCGAGGGTGCAAAGTGATTTATCAATTGAAGTTCTTCTTGGAGCATCTCATACTCACAAAAGGAAGCAGTCGAAGTGAGCACACTTTGATCTATGTGACGGTGATTGAGTTTACTTATGGAAGAGATGAATGCGAAATCAAATGAGGTCCAAATTGAATCAGAGAGGTGATGGGACATTTCATGTTCTTACATTGATTGGAAATAAAGGCTATGTCTTGGGCACGGATTCGAGGTCGAATTCTTTTGAAGAGAGGGGAAATGATGTGATCCCACGTGGGCCTCAGGTTATCAAGAATTCAAGGCACGTTGTGGAGAGATTAAATGCAAGTTCAGGTTTATAGAGGTCAATAAAAACAATCAATTTCATGTTAGAGCTAAGGAGTTGAAGAGATGGAAGTTAATGAACCAATGATCAATATTCGTGTTGAGATTGATGGGTGAAACAATTGGGATAAACTTATACCAAGTCAATAAAAACCGGACCAGATTTACAAGCCATGCGACCGCACCTTAGAAGCTCCATGCGGTCACAACCCAGTAGGTAGAGATAGTAGCCAGGTGAATTATTTCTACTATGTGACCGAACTAAAGAGTGCTATGCGGTCGCATAGCACGTTTCGACACATGCGACCTTCCATTTCCGGCATAGTGTTTGAGTATGTTTAAAATTCTTGTTTTTGGTAACTTTAATAATTCTAGGACTTTTATTTCCATTTTTTTTTTATCATATTCTAGAATTTTATTCCTTTTTAAATTAGGTTTTATAGTTTCATTATAAATAGGAATTTTTATTCTTCATTGTAACAAGACTCTTCATATGAATTAAATTGAGATTTTCTCTTGTGAAGCTTTTGCTTCACAATTATCTTGTTCTTCAATAGGCAAACCAAACTTATCAAGAATGGCGTTCAACTATCGGGTGTAAATTTTTGAATGGTGTAATCACAGGGTCTTTCAGGCATCATTTTTGTTGAGTTTTTTTGGTTCATTGTTTTGGGTTCAAATCCACAAATTCGAGTGAAATTTCGTAGTCTTGTAATCAAGATGTCGATTGTTTAATATACATTCGATTGCTTGGTTCACTTTTGCGGGTCAACACAAATCCAAAATCTTGATTGTAATTGAGATTTCCTCTTGTGAAGCTTTTGCTTCAAAATTATCTTGTTCTTCAATGGGCAAACCAAACTTATCAAGAAATTGATTTCTTGTGGTGTTCAACTATCGGGTGTAAATTTTTGAATGGTGTAATCACAGGGTCTTTCAGGAATCATTTTTGTTGGGTTTTTTTGGTTCATTATTTTGGGTTCAAATCCACAAATTCGGGTGAGATTTTGTAGTCTTGTAATCAAGATGTCGATTGTTTAATATACGTTCGATTGCTTGGTTCACTTTTGCGGGTCAAAAAAATCCAAAACCTTGATTGTATTTGGCATTCTTGGTGTAACACTCCAAAATTTTATGAATGCGGAAACGTTACGAAAAACTCCCTTTTCTTTATTTTAAGTGCGGAACTATAAAAATAAAATTATTTTATAGATAATAAAACCTTCACAAACTTAACTTAAAACACGGTAATCGTATATTTAAAATAAACACACTCAACTAACTAATTCAATAACATTTTTATTTTTTTAGAACAAATCAAACTAATTAATTGAAAGACAGAAAAAAACTTAATAAATATTTTTTCATCTTGGCAGCTCGCATTACCATCCCGCCACAATTCCAATCGACCTGAACAAACTTGTAAAAATTTGTAAGAGTGAGTATTCGAAAAAACTTAGTAAGATACATCAGTTTTCATATATAAATACATCACAATAAAATCTATATTTTATACAACTCTGCTCTTATAGAGTATATAGGTTTCCAAGCGACACTCTCATCCTAGGTCCTCTTAAAATCTCGTAAGATTTTATCTCTCTCTCTAAAAGAACCCGAAGGTCCTCTAGCAATTCATACATCTTTAATAGTGATAGCAACGCGGCGGGGCGGGGTTGGGACGAGACTTAAACGGGCGGGACACTTTTTATGTTGATTTTAATTATGTATTTAATGCTTTGAATTACTTGACCAACGATTCTAGTGAGTTCGGGGCAGTTTTTTGCCCCATTTACTGCCCCATTTAATTTAATTTTTATTTATTTATGTTTTTATTTACACATTTTGAAAATTTCGAGTTATACTATTAAGTTATAAAATACAAATTCAAAATTTAAAAATTTAAAACAAATAATGCTCAAATTAACATCAATATTCAAAGAAACACTCGAAAAAACAATATTAAAAAAAACTATTTTTTTTAATATTCACGGGGCGGGACTGTAACCTGTCGGGGGCAGGTTTCTTTGCGCCATTCAGGAAGGGGAGGGGCAAGGCAGGGCGGGACAGGGTAAATTGTCATAGCTAGTCTTTAATTAAATATAAAGGCATAATGAAACGAAAACACTTGCACATAAATATATCTTACCTCATTGATTTGAAAAGTTGTAATGGACTAGAAAAATGCACGTAAAAACCCCTTTTAATGCTTCATTCTCTCTGATTAGACTATTTATTTTCTTTAAGTAAAAGCTTTATGAAGTTTCTGTGGGTATATGCTTGGAATACGAGAGCCTTATATATGGGTGGTTAGATTAAAAGATAAGTCTTATCTCAACCAAAAGATTTATTTGATTTGTATTATCCTCTTCTTTTTATCTCAAACAAATTATGTGTGATAGAAAGTTTGTTTATGCGTTGAAGTATGTGACCATGATTTGACTTAATCCTAATCAACTATCAAAACTAATCTAAATTACCAGCCAACCAACATAAATTAACTTGATCAATTCCAGATTTACCTTTATCAACTTTTTTGTTACTACACGTGGCTAGCCAATATCCTACAGAAATTTAAAAATTTACCAATATCTCCATCCAAAACATGTAGCCATCTTAAAAATCACAAATATATATATATATATATATATATATATATATATATACAGAAATTTAAAAATTTACCAATATCTCCATCCAAAACATGTAGCCATCACACACACACACACACATATATATAAAATTAAAAAATCACCTTATCTACTACACGTGGTGGCAGCCCACAATTAATCCAAGTCTAATTTAAGTTGAATTGGAGATAGTTTATTCAAATCGACTTTTCTTGAGTCGAAGAGTTCTAATTTAATACAAGCTTTAAAATGAATTTAATATCGACGTGCTTCATTCATTTTTATCAAAATCTAATAATTTGGATAAGAAATAGTTTTTAACTAAACCCAATTAAGATCACTTAACATGTATCTTCACGTGAGAAATCGTCCCTATCCATTCCCACAAATCAAGGTACATAATATTAAAATGTGACTGCTTCATAATTCTTATCAATTCCCAAAATTAAGGCATTTAAAAAATATAAAGAGAACCTACTTTTGCTACCCTTTCTAGACGTGTCTATCATCAAAATGATTTCAAAGCCAATTCAGTTGATAATTGAAAGAAATTGACTCCTTTGGTTGCATAAAACATGGTGTACAGTGTACTATGCCAGTCAAGAAAGTTCCTTTAATATATTATATTAAATCATTCAAACAAGGAAAACATTTCTTCATTCAAAGTAGCGGCTGGATTTAAAGGGTCTAAAATTAATATCAATATAATGTAAATTTAGGTAATATATTTCAACCTCAATAATATGGACATAATTTATTCGAAATAATTATTTTTCAACCCAAATGTACGTTATTTAATACGAGCTACATAACGAGCCCAACATTTGTATGCTAATTCTAATTCTATTGAAAAACAAATATTTAACCCAATTAAAATTGGATTTACACATACAACGCTTTAGTCTACAATTATAAAAATATAGCGAATAAGTTTATTTTATACAAATTTTTTCGGGGCGTCACACTTGGGATCTGGTGGGAACCTTCTGTGGGTTTCTTAGTGTTCGTCGCTACGCGAGTTTGCATCACTATTGGAGTACTTAAAAAATTTTGCCCTCTAAATTGTTAAATATGCTCTTTAAGGACTAATAGTTTCTTGAAAATGCTCTAATACGTTGAAACATTAGGAACCTTATAATTATTGGAACCAAACTCGAACTGGAACCGAGCTCGAACCGTTGGTTGAGTCGATTCCAGTTTGGTTTCATTCATAATATTTTCTCTATATACATTTAATAATTATGTTTACACTTTCAATACATATACCTAATATGATACTACTCGATAATATTTGTGCGAGGAAGAAAATTCATGTAAGAAAACTTCAAAAAGAAAAATAGTGGAGACTAAAAACTACAAAAAGAAGAAAATTAAAACATAAAAAATTAAATTACATTTTGAGAAAAAAAAAATGTTTTCTTAATAAATCTTATTCAATACATAAGTGAGACATGCTACAACATGTAATTTAAATATGGACAATAATTGTATTCTTTACTCTTAAAATGAACTTAAATTAATAATTAGATACATAACTATATAGCATCAAGAAATTGTAATCCACACATTGAACTCACCTTGTTTGATTAAAAAATGAAAAATTATATTTCAAAAGAGAATTATGAACTCAAGATAATAGAAAAAGGCACACCACAACTCAAGCTATGAATATATCAAGTTCAATTGTGGAGCGTTATAAAATAAATCACTTAAATTTCTACACAATACGAAAAAGTAAAAAGCTCGAATTGTAAATAATGAATGCTTTGATCCATCAATTTAATGAATGCTTTGATTCATCAATTTACACCATAACTTAACTTGAACTTTTTGATTTATAGAAAACTCAAATAACAAAGATTAACATGTATTATCCTCCAAAATGCAACAATATGATGCGTGGGGAGAAGCAAAAATGTAGGAGCCAATCTTGATTTCTCAATATTAGAATTAAAAGTTTTAGACAAATTACTACCCAAATTAGAATTTTTAAGTTTTGTGAGTATATCATTTTTTTTTACCTACCCTATAAATTATAAATAAAAATTTATATAAAAATTCGGTTCCATTCGGGTACCCAGAATTTTGGTTTAGGAATCAAGAATCAAATTGACAAAGTCAGATCTCGGTTCTCTATTCCAGTTCTTAATTTTTGGGAATCAAACCCAAACCGGTTCAATTTGATTTCGATTCCAAAAATTTGATTGGGAAAAAATCATAATTACCTTAAATATATATTGAAATTCAGAAATTACTACTTTAATAGGAAAAAAATGAAAAAAAAAATACTTCACCACAAAATAAATGCAAATTTGACAGTTTGTCCTCAAATGGAAGCTTGTTAATTGTGTACATATATGATAATATGAATCCCCAGCTACGACATTACCAAAAATTTACCACCTAGATCGAAGAGACTTCTAGGAAGGCCGAAGAAGACGAGGAGAAGGCCACAGAGTGAGATTCTTCAAACAACGAGATGTGAAAGGTGCGGAAGTACAGGACACAATAGGAGAACATGCAGGCAACCTCAAGCCAGAAGAATAATGGAGCCACTTCTTACTTGTCAATCCCACATTGACAACTAGTTAGAACAATTTAGGATGCATATTGGAATATGATGTAAAATTATAAATTTTCAAAAGCTTGAATAAAAAGTGGGCATTGAGATTTCTTGATTACATTAATCGATTTGTTTTCATCATTTTTGTTTGATTAAAAAATGAAACGTAATACACATGAGTATGTTTGAGGTATTAGTTGAAATGTTGATTTTTGGATTAGATTCATTTAGTTACATATAACCACCTCTAAGATTTAGTACTTGTGTATTGTGTAAGTGATTAGTTAATGAAACGTTTCAAATTGGAAGACATGAAGTCAGAGCATAGTTATTAAACTCGATCCGATCGAGGTACTGGTTCATCGGGTTACTGGTTGAACCGGTGGGTCAATGCTTAAAAATATTTTAAATAATTTTATATATAAATTGTTCTCTTTTAGATAAAATTTAAAATTTTAAGTAATTTGTCATTAATTATATTTATATCTTTAAATTATTGAATTTTTTTTTAACTCATATTAGTAATAATGACTACGTTTTGATACTATAATTTTGTATACTATATTGACAAAAATTATATTATTTAATCTTTTTAAGTCAAAATGTTTTTAGAAAACATTCTGTATTTATGAATCATATAAATTACACAAAGAGATAACAACTAGCTTGTGGTTCAATTGGTTTGGCACTTGCGCTTCCTTGTTGAAGGTTGAATTCGTTGCAACCTTCAAATTTAATTCAACATTTTGAAGTCCAATCAAAAACCGGTCAACCGGTCTGGTTTTTAATAAAAAAATGTTGGTTGACTCGAGCTTTGACTGATTCAATTGCATATGGATAATATAATCCAACTCGGCCAGGTCACTGGTTTTACGGTGCAACCGTTCGAGCCGCTCTGGTTTTTATAACAATGAGTGAAAGACAATGAACATGCTCATTTGAGCACAAACAACATTCATATTTTGTTAGGTTAGAACACTGTGAAATACAACAAAAACAATGAATTTCTCTATCCAAAAATTTCCTGAATAATACGCGAATTAACAAAAACTTGGTGCACTCCACGGCAACACACATTTGGGAAAATCAAATTCTCTAAACAGTCAATACAATGAAGTCGGACATTATTGGATTTTGTAAACGACAGAGTATTGCGCGAACAAAAAAATAGATCCGGCAACATATCATCATGACAGATATCCCCGCTTCGATACTATAACATGTAGATATTACATTAGTCACCCGCAACATTGTCGATTTGCCTTCTATCAGTGTTGTTAACTTAGGTCTTCTTCTTCACATGCACACCAGTGTTGGGAGATCATTAATCCCAGTAGCTTTATTAAACTCAGAACCCTCGACCCCATTTTCTTCCAGTTCCAAACCCGAAAAGCCAGTGGCATCCGGCTCCTTAACCGCTTCACCGGCAGACTCATTCATGGATTTTTGTTGCAGCAACAAGTTCTTCTTGGGTTCCGATTTCTCATGACGGCAAAGGAACCCAAAAATATACCAGATACTCTTATTTAGGTGCGTGTTTGTATACATATAAACACACACTTATAAATCTTATTTGCTAACAAACGCAGTACATAAATGAGTAGTGGGTCTGGTTGAAACAAGTTAATTTTATAGAAAAAAGAGGAGAAGAGGTGTTAAATACCTGAAGAATAGGAAGGAATCTTATCTTTTGAAGAATATTTCACGCTATCTTCTTCTTCTTCTAGAAAAATGCATTTCCAAAGCCAAAAGCTAACAAAGAAAATCCAAATAGGCTTCAGGTTTGAAGATTCTTCAACGAATAAGAAAATTGGATTGGAAATTTTGCATATCTCTGTAATAACTGAGAATAGTTAAATGGGGAATTAAGTACGTGGATTTGGGATGATTTGAATAAGTAATAGGGGCATTTTGATGGCGTGATTGTTGCATGATTATTGATTAATTTAGGAGAGAGTCAATTTTTAGGTTTTTTATATTACTGCATATATTACAGTAATTTTAGAATAAAAAACTGTGAAAAGTAAAATTTGAAATTAATTTTAAATGTGGTA